TTAGCAGATAAATGCTCCACTGCGTTCGCTGGCTTTTTGCTAATTTGTCTGCCACTTGGTGTTGGGCAGGTATGTACAGGGTTTTCAGAGGTACTTTGCTGAAAACTGCTGCCTTCTGCAGCTGGTTTGTGCGCCATAAAACCAAAACAGTGAGCTGGAAGATGCTTACAAGCTTCATATAAAGCTGATGTGTAACTGCAGAGCTGGGTTATTATTCTCTGTGGGTTTGTCACCACCGGTGACCCTTTTCATATACACTGTATGTAGTGCTGTGTTCTATTGTTGATATAAAGAATATCAAGAATAGAAGCTTTAAGTAAACTGTTTCTTTCCATGATTACAAAGTATTCCTGGGAGAACTAATATCAGATCTTTTGTAGAATAAAAACTCCGCTCACCTTCTGAAATTAGAGTCATGATAGTTTTCATTCACATACACCTGTTTAGAAAAGACGTGAATTGAATGAGTTTATATCTATGTGGATTAAACAGTTCATCAGAGTTTGGACCTTATAATAGGCTTATTCATTCTGCAAGTTTGCACACACACATATTTGAGTTTAAATATGTGATATCATAAATATGTTTTGATTCCAAATATGCAAGCTTAAAAATGTCACTGTGAACATGAGCCCTGCTCCAAACACAACACGACATTTTTAAAAGCTGACGCATGGTGATGAAACTATGTTTGGTACCAAGTTTGTTAGTCAGTGAGCCATGCAGTGTCATTACAGCAAGAGTCCCACGGGGAAAGAGCCAGCCAGACTATCAGACACGCTATTACTGGAAATGTGGCAAAATTTTTCGTTCACTCAGTCCCTCAGTATAGAGCGCCAGTGGTAATGGGTGTTTAGGCTGGAAAGACAGAACAAGCTTGAGAAAATACAGGCTCCTGAGAGTTTCCATATGGGTAAAGTCCCCTCTGCAGGCATTAATTCATGGAAGTGGGTAAAGAACGTGGATGTCATCTAAAACATAAGGATGAATGGAAGGGAGAGCAAGAGAAACATAAAAGAGGATTTGCAAAAGAAAGCAGAATGGTGGAGTGACAGAAAAAGAGAAGCAGAAGAAAAATTAATTATTTTCCACTCTAGTCTGTAGGACGGCTGATAAGAGAGATCAATACCAGTGTAGATGCTCATCAGAAACATGCATGTGTTGTGTGTGGTGGTCCTCTTATGGGAATGGGATGAGTCTGGAATTGGATGATGAAAAAAAAAACATAAAGAAGCCAGTGAATTTAATATAAAAACTATATATAAACTGGGCACAAAGGCAGACAAAGAAAACAAAGAGATGAATGAGAGGACGGAAACATAGCCTACAAGGAGAACAAAGGAGATAAGATGGTGTGCAATGCGCTAGAGCTCAAGAGATTTGTAACCGCAAAGAGGAAAATACATTTCTCACAATTCCACTAATTTGTCAAATTAGATTTTCCTAATGAGACAGATGCATGCTGGTCTAAGCATACTAATACAGCTAAGGGTCTGATTTTCTTCACTCAGTGTTGCTGCAGAGTCCTGGTTCACCTACAGTTAATGAGAATGACAGAAGCAGGAAACACTGTTAGCCGTCCTGACTCTGATGGTGATTGGGTTGTCAGAGAAGCCAGCAGAGCGGGTTGTAAAGAGATACAGGTCACAGCCTGAGACAAATAGATTTCCCCCTCTGTGTTTTACACTTGTCATTACGATTACATCTGGGACATGAGATGAAGGGTTATTACATCCAATCAGTTTCGAGACTTTTGGCAATGGGACTAAACTAGTGCACTGGTGCAGTTGAGAAACAACAGGACCCATTGGGCTTGTTAAAGTTTAGAATGTGTTCCGATATATTTCAGCTGTATCGCTCAAGTAATGACCTGTTTTAAAGCGTCTGTAATAATGTCACACATCTTGGTGCATTCCCTTTTGCTTTTTACGCACTTGAGATCAAATGAAGCGGTGGTTAGGAGGTTTTGGAATGCAAGGCAGTGATCCATAGGCTACACTGAGTGAGGCGATAGGAGCTGCAGAAGGTAATTTTAACTTTGTCCTTATCTAACTTCACACCTGGAGGCATGTGAAGTGTAACACTGCTCCCTCAGACATGGATTGGTTCTGACTGGGAACACCTGACTCGCCAAAAGCTGTGACAGTGTGAGCAGAGTAAATGGAAGTCGGGCCAGGTTTATCCATAAATAATGTTCAACATGCAGAACTGTTTTTTCTTTTTCATTTTAATAAAGACCACATTGATGTATTGGTCTTGTATTTGTCTTCATTAGCTACTAGAATTGTGAAATGTCAAATTTTCTGTATGACTTTTTTTTTTTTTTTAATGAACAGCAGCCACTGTAGCTTGTATCTGTTTTTTCATCAGCAAAACATACTGAAAGGATTGGCACCAAACTTGGTGGAGGGATGGGGCATATGTCAGGGAAGAACCCATTACATTTTGGTGCAGATCTAGGAATTTGTTTTATCTAATTCCTTAATGTGTATGATTGTTGGTGCACAATCGTGTTTCAAAAACAAAATCCATTTGAATCATACTCAGTCTCAAGTCATGGATACCAAGTCAAGACTTGATTTAAGTCATGTGACTCAAGTCTGACTTAAATCAGACACACCTCTGCTCAGTTGTTTGTGATTCTTCTTTTTCACCTGCCGTCACCGCCTCAGCTTTAGTGGGAAGACTGTGTTTTTATTTGCTGTGACCTTTGACTAACCTTTGATTTCTCAATAGGCTGCTGGCAGCCTACAGAAAATGACTACCTTCTTTTGTATTGCTTCATTCTTTTACTCACCTGTCTACCAGGTGTGCATGACACAATGTCCAATAAAGACAACAGGAGCAGTGAGGAATATGCACATATCAGGTAACAAAAAAGAACTGAAAACACACAATTTTTGCTTTTGAGTAAAAAAAATAAAATGACCTAAACATAATTTTAGTAATATCTTTTTTTATTTATTGGTCTGCATCAACTCTAAACATAATTCTTTCTCATTTTTAAAAGGGCTTCTCTCAAAGAATCACCAAAAAATGTCTTAGAAATATAGTGGAAACATTAACACCACACAGCAGCTCCTCTGACAGGTTCAGGTACACTGACCTCACAAATGTTGGTGCTTAATACATTTAAATTAACCTTACAGTGTGCGGCCAGCCGTGCCCAATATGTCTCTGTCCCTGTCAGCCTCTGAGGCAGAAAATGGAGGTCAGAGCCAAACGGGATCAGGTCCTTGGCAGGAAATCTAACAGCAGGTGCAGAGACCATTTCTTAACGCTGCTCACTCTACCTTGAGACTTTATTATATATTACATCTTTGCTTTTCATTTAACTTCTTTCTTATGAGACAACACAGAGAGCGGTTTGGTGAGGTATTCAGAAGAGGACAGAATATGCAGATGCACTCTAAATGTCCTATTTTAAAATCTGCCTCAGTGCCAACCGCTGCACACTTGCTGTGTTTACTCTGCACAGAAAGGATATCGCACTGTTACCACAAGGGGCATATTCCATCACACACTGTGTTTTGGCAGATGTACCTACAGATACTGTTAGATATGTTGAACTGATTATCAACCTACAGCGAGTTGCCATGCTGCAATAGATACTCAAATAAGCCTTTACAGCAGCTTAAATATCCACAACTGTTAATTGGTGAGGGAGAAAGATAATTGTGGATAAATGTTCAATTCTTCTGTTTTTTTCATTATTCCCTTTAAATAATTTCTCACTCTCACGTTCACGTGCAAGTATGTATACTCCAATTGGGACTAGTTGGCTGTTCATTCTATTTAACAGTTTTGCAGTAATACTTTGTATTTCACATGGAGTTGTGCAAAATGATATTCATGTGACAGGTACACAGATTTGTGAACATCCACTATTGCTACAAAGCAATTCTTTTGAGGTAGCCACTGCAGCTAAATACTAATATGCATGTTGCATATAACTTGATGATATGTAGATGTTGCTTCCTTGCCACCTTTCCTTTAGTTGTTTCAAAATTTGAAATGAAAAATGAAGGCATTTCATGGCTACACAAAAAACCCACCAAACTATGCCTCACCTAATATCCTCTGATGGACTATAATGTACATCTACCAAGTTTATGGTGGACGTTTATGCTCTACCTTATTAGTAACATCCATTAGATTATTGCTAAAGTCTTGGCTCACTCCACTTTCCACCATTTTTAAGATGTTTGGCATCACAGCATAATTAACTTAACCTTTGGCTCCCTCACTCCACGGCTATTCTCCACCATCCTCTGTCTGCTGCTCCTGCCTGTGTCTGCTTTGTCCTTGGCCGCTGTCACACACACATGTCCAGCTTTCTGTCTCAGCCTTTTGGGCGACACACAAAATGACCAGCTTCATGAACAAAACGGAAATATATTGTTTTTATGTTTCTGCCCTGTCTAACCTTCTCATTTCCATTTTAATCAGTGTCCTGATTGGACATTGACTCTCCGGGATTGACAGTACTTGTGGAAGAATATTTAATGCAAAATGTGAGTTGCAATGACAAATCCATAACCATGACATAATGACCACAGTCCATTACAGCTCTGTCCATTTTCAAGTTGAATGATAATAAAGACCATGAATTTTCTTCTCATTACTCTGCAGTATCACCCCCAAAACATTTTGAAATGATCATTCTCACTCTGATTTGTGGCCTAATAATTTACATTTCCCTTTTAAATTTCATATTGCAACAGCACTTATACTATACAGCCTAAATCTTAAATGTTCCCCTGGATAGACAGAGTTGCCAAAGAAGCCTGCTATAATTTACAAATGATCTTTAATCTTGATTCCCAGGACTGGGTAGAAAAGTGCATGTATGCATATTTCTAAACAATATGCCGCTGGTAGGTCAGGTCTGATAAGAGTCCGGTGGGAGGAGGGAGGAACAGAAGGAGCGCGTTTGTAGACGGGAAGCTGCTCGGTGGTTTATTGTGGTGCGCACCTCCCCTCTCCATAACGCAAAGAGCTTCCTCTCGCTTTACGGAGCCTGCTTGCAATTCTTGCTCTTCATGCCAGAGTCTGCAGCTGTCTCTCTGCTGCGTCCCACTGCCGCTGTTGTCGGAAACCGTCGCCTCTCAGGACGAACTGCCGCCAGACTTTTTTTTTTTTTTCCCGTCAAGACTCAGCGCTATCCCGAAGGATATTGCAACTTTTAGACATTTTCCAACAGGAAACTGAATGAAGACACCTGACAGCGCGTAACGCCCCATCCGCGTGTTTACTGAAATCTTTGCAACTGTGAAGGCTATAGGAATGTGGAATACAAGTCTATCTCAACGGTGAGTGTTGCAGAACGTTTATCATCCTCTCTTTCTTTCGCTCTCTCACTACGTGTGTGTGTGTGTGTGTGTGTGTGTGTGTGTGTGTGTGTGTGTGTGTGTGCGTGTGCGTGCGTGCATGTGTGTGTTTGTTGGACTGCAGTAGGCGTTCAAATTAAGTTTGGAGCTTCAGTGTCGAGTCTGTGCACGACTGATCTTGAATGCAAACGCCACTTCACTTGAAACCAAATGCCTCCAGTAATCTAGCCTATTGTTTCTGTGTTCATGATTACATTCAAATACCAAATATAAGGTTAAACATCGAATATTTCCTCATCTGTCCATCCCTGTCCTGCAGTAAAACCACCTGCCTCTGCCCCTGACACCATGACCACAGATTTGAACTTGACCTCCCTGCTGAATGTCACCGATCTCCACAATCACTCAAGAGGATGTTCCCTCACCAAGACAGGCTTCCAGTTCTACTACCTGCCCACTGTTTACATCATGGTCTTCATCACGGGGCTGGTGGGCAACAGCCTGGCCATCTGGATGTTTGTGTGCCACATGAGACCGTGGAGCAGCATCTCTGTCTACATGTTCAACCTGGCCCTGGCTGACTTCTGCTACGTCCTCTCTCTGCCCTTCCTCATCTTCTACTACTTCAACAAGACGGACTGGATATTCGGGGATATTCTGTGCCGGCTACAGCGTTTTATATTCCATGTGAATCTTTACGGAAGTATTCTGTTTCTGACCTGCATCAGTGTTCACAGGTACACTGGGGTGGTGCACCCGCTCAAGTCTCTGGGTCGACTGAAGAAGAAAAGTGCAGTTATTACCAGTGTGCTGGTGTGGCTGGTGGTCGTTATAAGTATCTCCCCAATCCTTTATTATTCCAGGACGGGCTTGAAGCGTAATGCAACCATTTGTTATGACACCACCACTGAGGATGAGTTACCAGGTTATTTCATCTACAGCATGACTTTGACTGTGTTTGGGTTCTGCATCCCTTTTATTATCATATTTTGTTGCTATGGCATGATTGTCAAAGCGTTAATCTGCAATGATATGAACAACGCGCCCCTGCGGCAGAAATCAATCCACTTGGTTATCATCGTGCTCGCGGTCTTCGCCGTCTCCTACCTGCCTTTCCATGTGATGAAGAACCTCAACATGAGGGCCCGGCTGTACTTCCAGAGCCCTGACATGTGTGAGTTTAACAACCGCGTCTACGCCACCTACCAGGTGACACGCGGGCTGGCCAGCCTGAATAGCTGTGTGGATCCTATTCTTTACTTCCTGGCTGGAGATACCTTCAGGAGGAAGCTGTCACGGGCCACTAAAAAACCCTCCAGGAAGGGGGACAATGTCCTTCAGTCCAAGAGTGAGGAGACGGCACTCAACAGCCTGGCTGAGTATGTGGAGAATGGGGACAGGAAGCTGTGACAGGGCCCCTCAATGTGCCTGGTGCTGGGGGTGCGGATCCCTGTTAGCTTTAGAAAACACAACGGACTTGGTATTAAATAAATAAATGCACTGTTTAGACTGACGGCTGTATGTAGAATATACTGGACGATGGTTTATAGACCTGTAGGATAAATACTCCATTTAACCCTGTGATAACCATCGCTTGCTTGCAGCCTGTCGACGTTGATAAGCTATCGTACTGTATTGTCCTGTACATGTATTGTACTCTAAATGTTAGAGCCATCTCTCTTCATTCTTATCGAATAGCTAGCATTGCTTACACTTTGGACAAAACGAACATCATGATCAGACAAGCCGGGGGAAAATAGGTTTCCCTTCAGCTTAATTAATGCCCTGTTCATCAATTTGATCAGGAAAAATTGGACTCAGAATGGATAGCACCCTCTCTAGCCACCGAGCTGATGCTTAATCAATAGCTATTAAGCGGGCGGGAACTTGTGGTTAAGGAAGTGTACCTGGGATGGCTTTTAAAGGAAAAAAAGTAAATGCACTGAACCTGAGTTTGCTGCATGGATGTGCCATGCAGACAGTGTAATGCACTATGACCAGGGACTCTCTGCTCAGAGGGCTACCTATCACTCCTCATTTCTTTCTGCATCTATAACTGACTGTGTGAGAAATGTGGTCGAGTTTTTCATTTTGACAGCCCTGAGGTTGAGGTCTGCAACGGCTCTGTTACCACAATCTTTCTTGCCTTGTTAACCTGTTCCCTACTGAAAAATGGGAAAATAATACTTACAGTATTTTGTGTATATGATACTATAGTGAATGTTTTTTCTGAGGTGTACTGTACAGGATGTTGTGACGTTCCAGATGAATCTGTGTTGTTAACCGTTTTGTTCAAGTCAGTACCACTAATCCAGACCTTTAGTGCATGAGTCTATTATCAAATCACATCAGTGAAACACTTGCCAACCATGGCAGTTTGGAACTGCTCAACAGTTAATTGTAACATAGGGAATAATAGCTTATCAATGAGCAGAAACAGACACACACACTCGGTCACCTGCTTTGTATCTCCACCAATATTGAAGACTTTTTTTTTTGTATAAGATACCTCAAGTAAATACTGCACTGTGTTTGTGTTTTGGCAGATAATAATTGTTTTGTATCTAGTGTAGTCACTCTGGAGAAATGATTGTGGAGCTCTCTCGGTATATATTTTACCCTGGACTACATAGATGTTTGATGTCTCTACTAATACATTTGTAAATCTGTGATGTGGTCAGCTATTGTCAAGAAAGGAAGTGAATCACCTGTACAGGATATTTGGGGCCACGTGTATCTTTGTCAATAAATTTTTATATTTAAAACATGCCAGACAATGTAATAAGTCTCACATAATTCCTCTAAGATTGTGGGTAATTTTAAGTCTCTGATTTCTAGCATTTATGTCTCCGTGTTTATACCAGCTGCATGTCTTCTTAGTCAAATGTGTGCAATGTTATGTGTGAGCAAACGCTGTTGGTTTTGGAGACATTTCGTGCCGAGTTGTGTCCTCTCTCTCTCTCTCTCTCTCTCTCTCTCTCTCTCTCTCTCTCTCTCTCTCTCTCTGTGCTACTGTTGACTTTCTTTTTCAACAGAGCCAGGAGGAAGCGAGGGGACGAGGGAGGAATAAAGAGTGGCACCTTTTTCTCCTGGCTTATCCTAAGACAGCTTTTGTGTCCATCACAATGGTGTGGGGGTTATTGATGCAGACAGGGGTGTTGAGGCTGTCGCCAGGACCCCAGGGCTGCACGGTGTTGTGGGCACAGGAAACCAACCAACCCTCTTCCCCCAAACAGGGCCCATGAAGACAAACAGCTTTTGATTTCCTTGCTTTGAGGTGCAAACAGCATAGCTGGTTTTTGGCAAATGTGTGTGTTTCTCTGTGTTGGAGAGCCCGAAAGGCGAGGGAAACCTTATTCAACTAGGTAGCTGTTTCAGCCGTTATTTCCATTTGGTGGTTACTGCTTGTTGATTCATTGTCAAAGGTTGCCACTACAACATGCTCATGGACTGCAGGCAAATTAATACACATGTATATTGGTTCCTCTATGCTGTGTACACGTGATTAGATGAAAGGACGGTTGGATTCAGCCAACGCCAAATCTCGAGCCAGCGTCAGTGCTTTGGAACCCGAGTGTCAAATCTTGACTTGTTGAAAGTTGGGATGCTTGCCAGTATATCCTCCCTCCCTTTCTCAGCCACCTTTCACCTCTTTTCTCTCACATCTCATTATTCTGTATCTAGAATTAGAAAAAAAGCTTTTCTTTGCTGCATTTCACCTACTGCAGGGGAAGATTATTTGAATAAGGGTGTGGAGGAGAGAGTTCAGCAACACAGCGGAGGACCGAAGGAAGAGTTGAGTGTGAAGAGTAATGGCAGTTGTGGACAACAAAGTTTTGTGTGTGTGCGTGCTTTTCCAGAGAGGGGGCCTAACAGTATAATCACAGTCAGGACAGCTAACCTAAAATACTGAGCTTTGTTCTTGAAGATTTACAGTGGGAGCTGGGACAACCACATCCATCACAGGGGCACCATCTGCTTCAGACAAAAACTACCGCTAACCACAAAAAACAAACAGAATCAATATGTCAATGTGTGGTCCTTGGTGAGCAACATGTGATACACAGTGATGTGGTTAAGCTGCAAACTCTCGTGCATCCATCGATTCCACGTGACACTGCTGCAAAAACGATGTTGAACAACATAAACTCCCACATCATTGTTGCTGTATTATATGTAAACCTGGAGCCCTATGATACTTTCATGATACATTACACATGTTGCTTTTTGCAATGCTTAGTACCTGTAGCAAAACAGTATGCACTTATCAAGGCTTTATTTTTCTAACAGCAGTTCTGCTGTTAGAAAAATATTTTGTTCAGTGACTCTTGGTTACAGCACTGCATTACTGCTATGCTTCGATATTAACGCGTGTTTAGGCGTCAACCCAGCAACAAGCCCAGCAGCAGAGCCCTCATGGAGCATTGTTGCACATATATGGTAATGTCAGACTGTACTGATGTTGGACATTGTTGTTAACTTTTTAAAAATAAAATATAAAACACAGAAAATTTTCCCAGTAACCACACCTACATCAGCCAGGAGCCTGCTTGTGAGAGAGGATCAGACCTCAGACCAAACCCTGTGCTGGTCAGGTAAGGAGCGTTCACACCTCAATGATAGTTAAAAAAAGATTCAGGCTGTTGATGCATGCCCACAGTGCAAACAAGTTTGCCCGTGTGTGTGTATCTATGGAGCCACAGATCACACATAAGACTCTGAAGGGCCAATAATAACTGTACAGTAAACCGCAGCTCTAACCAGTAAGGCTGGGCATGCAGTTGCACACACAAACATTAATAGTCAAATTCATTAAAAGTCAATTTTACATGCCTGATGAAAGAAACTACCAGAGAATAATCTGTATGTATTGCTGCTGAATCTGATCACCCATGTGTGAAAGTGGGATGACAAATGCCTTTTTATAGATTACACAGATGATTATGTATCACTCAAACCTATTTTCCTAGTGTTCACACTGTGCAAGTCTATAGGGTTGTATAAACCTATGAGTGTGTGTTTGTAGGTATGCCAAGGAGCGTGTCTTCCTATCAACAGGAGGACTTTAAAGAGACTTTAAAGCAATCTAACCTTGATTTAGTATGTCTGCATATGAGCAGTGCTCATGAAACTCAACCCATGTAACCTATTGTTGTATATTCTTTTTCCCAGTATTGGTACATAAGTTGCAATATGATGCATCTGCTATTTTTTGCATATTTTTGTTTTTTGTCTCCAGATTTACATGAAATCTGTTGCACTCTTAAAGGTGCTATTTGAAAGTTTTGCTATAGCTACATAGCCAACATTAGAATTAGCCGCTATTTACTTACCAGTCTTGACGAGAGCTTCATCCATCGTTGCATTTACCATACGAGAGGTTATAATACGTCCTCTGAGCAGCTACCTCTTCAGACAGACTGGACGCTACGGAGACTTGCTATCGGAAAGTGACGAGACAGCCGGACAGGGCTGGAGCTAGCTGGTTAGCTTGCTAACTTAAGTAGAAGAAAAGAAGTGATAGAAACAGAAATGAAACAAGGGGGTTGTTTTCCACATCTGGAGGAAGCTCTTGGCGAGTAAAGAAATGAGGTTTAATACTGAACTTGCAACATTTCTTTTTGACTGGCTGTTAATGCTATCCCTGGTTATGTAGTATTGGCAGAACTTACAAATAGGTCCTTTCACATCATGTGCAAACCAGTGGTAGACGTTAACTACGGTGACTCAAGTATTGCTCTGAAGTACAATTGTGAGGTACTTGTAATATAGTATTTTAATGACATGTTACTTTGTATTCTTACTCCGCTACATTAAATAATTGTGGCTAAAGATAATTACAGTTACTGAGTATATACAATACATTTCATCATTATACAGCAAATTAAACCTCACTCAACAGTAGCCTATATAAGATTGGTTAAAAGTAGCTCAACTAAAGTCAGCTGCAACATTAAACTGCTGTTTAGATCTTAATGCAGTCATAATAGTAATAATGATAATAATCCCATACTATTATGTGAAATGATGTTCTACTATAAGTAGCCATTTGCAAATGTTGAGTACATTTATACTTGAAGTACATTTTGCTGATAATACTGACACATTTTTAAAGTGCAAAACTGAAGTAAATTTGTTATGCATTATTTGTAATCAAGTATGTTTTGATAGTGGAGTGTTTTACTCAAGTAAAGGACTTGAATACTTCTTTAACCACTGTAAGCAACAATAAAAACATTCGGCATGAAAATAATTACCAGGCACTGTATTTGCAAATTTACCAAACTAACACAAGTTAATAAAAGTAAGAAGATTTTTTGTAAACATTTCAGTTGAATTGGATTATCCAATCGTGACCATGCATTTTGTTGTGTTTTAATGTCAACATCAACAGTGCCACTGTCCACAACAATACTGACAAGATCGGAATAAAAACATATACGTATACAGAATGAATGATGTGCTATGAAAAGTAGCAATGGCCTAAGGTGAGTTTGCTTTTGACAGTAAAAGCTATTTGAAATGAGACAAGTGTCCTTGATGCAATATATTTATGGTCGCCTCTGGCACTGGCCTGCTTTGACACCATGAAATTACTTCACGTTCATCATATTGTCAGACATACATGTTTGAGTGCTAAAGCCAAATACAGGCTTTGTATGATGACACTTGTGTGATGAAAAGATACGTTCTTCGCTCTGTTACTGTACAGATGCTGTAAGCATAACAACAAATGGCTACTGTCATTATTTTCAACTGCATGGTTTATTGTAATGTCATGCTTATGGTTTGGACTGCTGCAAGTATAAATATTATTATATTGTATTGTATATAAGATGTGCAAGGATTAGATGGCTTGGACTGGAAGAAGAAGAGGAAGAGGGAGAGGGTGTGTGAGATGGAGCATGGGCTGTCATATTTTGGTTGTCATAAGTTTGTGATCAATATCTGTGCGGCCACTCCTGTCTGGCTTCTTCTTGATTTTCTGCTGCTTCCTGGCGTTGTCATCGATCAATTTGAACGATCGGCTTACTGGCTGACATCCACAAACCTACGTCTTTGATTTTACACAATGGGGTCACAAAGCAGTTTAACCTTATCCGAGAGGAAGATATCTGAGGGTCTAAATGTGGTTTGGCTTGTTCGATGTTGAATCAAAATTAAAAGTTATTTTGATATTCATCCTATAGGTTTTGTGCAATATACGTTTGGTAAAAAGGTAAAGCTGGTACTATTTCTCACAGGATATAGCTCTGCAAACACAGCTGGGCGGCAAGAGCGTTGTCAGAGTGCAGATGGGCTGGCCTGTCTGATAAGAATTATGAGATATGAAGTGTAGCTCTGAAATGAACTGAGGCTAAATAAAAGGGTGCCTGCTGCTTGGAAGGATAGGCAGGAGAAATGATAAGGCAAGGTGTGAGAACACAAGTAGCTGAGAACTGGGGCGATACCAAATGTGCATAGATAGTAGGCATAGAAAAAACCCTCAGGAGAAAGACAAAAGAAACACAAAGATAGAAAAAAGAGAGTTAACAATAAAAGGCCACATAAGTTGACTTAGACCAGTGGTAGCATATGTTCTATACAGATAGATACATACATACATGTAATGAAATGCTGAGAGGTTTTTGTGAAGTAAAGGTAACAAAGACTTGCTTAATGTAGCAGGTTTGGCGAATCACATCAGTAACTGCACAGGCTTCTGCATGTTCTGCTGCTCTGCCCTTCAGTTCATATCATCTGTCTATTGTCTAATGTCTGCTTTTCT